TCACCTCAGTATTTTCTGATCTCAGCTCATGTAGCCAAATTCTCTCTCTAAACTCTTCAAATTGAAACTTGCTCCTGCTGAGACACAAATCCATTTATGCACAGAACAATCATTTTTTCCTTCCCAAACAATTTGTGAGTACTGGACGTATCTTTTGGAGACCTCTTCTCTTCTGAATGAAGCTTAATCCACATTTTAAAGTATATAATGGATTGACATCAAATTTAGTCATACTTAGAGAAGACTCACTGAAATCTGGAGATTTACAAGTTGAGCATCAGAGAGTTTACTATCACTTCACATGTCAGAGGGGAGATAGATGAATTATTTTCCAAACTAGAAAATTTTAGTGAGGCAGCCTCTTCCACAGAGATGCTGACAATATCATGTTATCAGACCCTAAATGTAATTTAGTACTATGGGCATGCTACTATCCCTCTGATCAAAATGCTCAGGGTGATGTTGAGACAGAGAACAAAATCAAGGGAGCATCCAAGGGAAAGAGAATTACCCTCCAGAAGACTGGATGTGTGCTTTGGTCAATCCAAAAGGTAACTGATATTCCCTAGAAGAGTTTAGCACAGAAATAACCAGCATGATCATAACCATGAACTTCCTTTCCTTTGTGGCCACTATCTGTATGTTTTTCTTTAAACCAAGTACTCCAACTCTCCCATCTTGGCTCAAAGGCTTCTGCTATTAGCACAAAAACATTTATACATCATTTCCCCTTCTAGAAATTACTGGCATGTGCACCCCCACATAGCCCTTCTGTTCCTTTGATTGGCTAGCATGCTTTAACTCATGGCCTATTTCCACCCCAATCCATTTGGGCAATTGGAAAATTTTTCATCTTAATTCCCTAGGGATGATTCAACTTGAGCCAGTCACTCTCCAGCTCTTAACAGCTTCCCCTCTCTGACCCAGGGTTCAGTTTAAAAGCTGCTTTGCCACCCTTTCCGTATTAAGCACCAGCAGACTGATTCTGTTCAGGTTCAAGTGGAGCCCATCCACTCTGCCACAGACTTTGCTTGCTCCAAAACTTTCCCAAACCCTAACAAACCTCAACTCATTTGGGGGTGAATGAATGTGGCCTATATGCTGCATGTGGTCACCGACTTCAGTGGTGAAAAAGTCTTTCTTTTATAAAAGCATTAGGCAGAATTAGTGCTATGAAGTACTGAAAGGATTTTAGCAAACAAGCGCTCCACAGTACTATAGTCATTTGCTGCTAAATTTCAGCAGCAAAATGCCTTTGTTAAATGTGGTCCACAAAGGAAAATGCCCCCCTGACCTTCCACAGTTGTTCATCTCTGATCTTGATGAAGCACGGTATATACAATGTTTAGGCCAGGCAAGCAATTCACCATGTAGTCTACACATCCATCAACTGAACTGTCTGTGATTCTAATGATTAAACCTCTTATCTAAGAATTATCTAAGGAATTATCCCTCTCTTCACAGGTAGTGTCCTCCTTTCCCAAGACCCTCATTCCCCATGACTGCAAAGGAGCTGTCACCCTGGGATTAGGGGGCTACTGTCACATCCCTAAAGACTTGCCCATAAACCTCTCACCTTCTTCAGGTTAGCAATCTGGGGTTCAAGGGAATGAACATGAGCTGGTAGACATACATGTGACAATCAGTGCAATAAATTAAAAAATTTCCTGCACTCATGATGGCTTTTTACTTTCATATCTGTTTTTGATTATTTAATATATTTACCTAACAAGTAAGCCCTCTACTAGAAGAACACAGCAAAGGTGTCCATGGACTCCATGCCATCATGCTAATATTACATAGGCGCTCAACCTCAGTGTGTGCTTTGCTTCTTTTTATCATGACACTTTATCACGAGGGCTGAAGCAACTGTTCACTAGAGCTCCTCCTCAATGGTGAAACATTAAGAAATTGCTCAACCATACAAAGCAGGCTTTTTCACAATATTGGTTATATTGTTTTTAGAACTTTCCAGTTCTAAATGTGGGTCCTAAAGGTTAACTAACAGAAACAAAAAACTTATAGAAAAATGCATTTAACACAATATTTAGAGAGTACAACATTAAGTAGAGGAAATACTGATACAAAAGTTTTATTTCTTCTCAATTAAACCAACTTTATTCATCAACAGCTGTTTTCCAGCTTCTCATAAACAACAAGTTTTTAACTTTTGTTAACTGCCCAGAGAGCCTTTGGCTATTTGGCAGTATAAAAATTAATTAATTAATTAATTAATTAACTCTCCTGTTCTTGCAATGCCATCCTCCCCAAATTTACAACCACATCAGCAAATGAACTAGTTTAGCACAAACTTGCTAACCAAGCCATGCCTCAGGGGACTTAACCAGGCTTACTCATGAAAGATTCATTATTAAATGACCAGGTTTCAGAACGTTATGACAAAGAATATTGTTGTGTTTCAAACGATGGAAACTTCCTGGTGTCTCAAAATGCACCATAGTCACTTGAGTCATCCCAGATTAGGAAACAGTCCAGAAATTACCAGCAAGGCCTACATACCTTATGCATAATTTCACAAGGAAAGCTTCCTCTACTTGCAATAAAAAGTCAAGTGTCAGGGGTTTGTATTTCCTACAAATTCCCATGTACAGGGCTAATACCCGAGTTCAATTATATACATTCCATCTCATCTGTGTTTTACCTAGGTATATGTTCAGCTGACTGAATTTGCTAGTAATCCTTTATCTGAGCAACCAGGAGTAGAGCTTCCAGAATACTGAGCAGGAAGGTTTTGAGTATTCTGCGAAGCTCTATCTGGCTAGCTGGAGAATGCTGAGAGTTACAGGACTCTTTTCTGCTTAAACTTGTATAGCATTGTACCCTTTAAGAACCAGAACAGGATACGTAATATACACTTCATTAGTTTATACTTGAAATTAGAAGAGTTACACTATATGATTGTAAGGCAATAGATAAAGTTCACTTAAAGTACTCTAAAGGAATATGAGACCAAAATACATACAGAGGGACAATATATAGCAAGAGAAAAGGAAATTACTGTGCCTGCAACACTTGTCCAAAGGAAGATCTGCTTATCTCCATTGCTAACAGATAGACCACCCCACAATCTGAAGAAGATTGCAGCTGCAAGCACTTAAGAATACACAGGCAATTCCACCACCTGTATTTCTAAACAAAAGTACTCCCAATGAGCAAACACTTCCATGGTTCCTTGGTAAGAAACTATCAAACAGCCACCTGACAAAGTTTTAATACTCATATTGTTTCCTAACTGGAATGCACAACTGTGAAGTGGTAGCACCAAAAGTCCCATCTTCGCACATGTAGTTGTCTATGTAACACTCACTGATGTGAGTCTTCCTCAAGACTTAGGAGAATGAGAAAACTTTCAAAGACACACATACTCCACAAAAACATGAAGCCATGTTAATCAAAAGAGAATTTTCAAATCCTGTATCACAATACCTTTATTAGAACAAATAAAAAATCCCAAAATACTGTGCAAACTTTTGAATTCCAAGAACTCTTCATCAGGCAAGACAGTTAAAAAAGAGGGGGCAGTGGCTAATGTTAAATCTACATTAGCTTAAAATCTTAAGATGGACAGTTGGGAGAAAGCCAGTAGATGTTCTGATTAAGCCCTACCAAGCACCAAAATGCTTTTGGGTGGTTCCTAGGACCTTGCCAAGAGTTGCTGGGGATAAGATACAAACTAACAATAGTTGATCCACCATTATTGAAAATATAAAATTCAGTGTTACTCAAAAAATGTTTTCATCCTTGACTGAATGGCCAGGTTCCTTGGTACATAAAAAAGACAGAGAGAAACCAGACAAGTTTTCTTTATTAAAAAAGATGGAGACAATTTTAGCTGATATTTCATTATGATACTAATCCATCCCAAGAGAAGACATGCTTGGGTCTCTTCTGCAAATTACTGGTATAAAACAATTACATGTTCCCCTGCCTAAGGGCCAATTCCTTACAAAGGTACAAAATCTATACATCCAATTGTTTTAAATAAGTAAAATTGAGTATCACATACTCTAAGGTGGTATCACATGCCTAGACTCCAAAAAGAACTACCCCTTTAGCCAAGGACAAAGAATTTCAATCTCAACTATCCAAGTTTGAGGTAAAATAGCATAAAAAATCTGAACGGCAATTGGTCCTTCCATAAGTAGATCTCTTCCTTAAGATTCAACCTCCCTTCCAGAAATAAAGTAATAAGGATTCCTTTCCATTTAATCCTGCCAGAATGTCTCCACCCCTCATGGACTTCCTCATCAAAAGATCCTCTGCAGTTCAGAACCTTTAAAGAAACTGTCTCTTTCCCTGAGATACACTATCCTAGAAGAACTCTCCATGTTAGAAAACATATTTCCCACACTGCAGAAAAAACATATCTTTCCTCCACAATCTTGGAAGAGGCCTTTCTTTGTAAGGCAGAAATTCTTCCCCTATTTGGATAGATACATTATTAAAAGTATCCACACATAACATGAAATCTCAAAACGGCTGCGGCTACCAGCCATTGCAAGGTACTGTCCACCACCATAGCTGAATTGAAGTGATGACCTCCCATCACCAGTCCATCAAGGACGAGCCCCCCATCCCTCCTATTTTCTCCTAACATGCATCTCAAGCCACCCAACCCCTTTTCCGCCTACTCACGCACCCTCTTCAGTTTCTATTCCCCACGTCACACACCCATCACTTACCCGAAGTCTATCCATTACATACGTTACCCCTCCCCCAGCGTACACCACCTTCCTCTCAGGGGGCCACCCGCCCACCATCTCCAATCACACCCAGCCTCCCACCTCAAGGCCTGAACCTTACCTTCCTTGCCCCTGCCTTTCTCCCACAGTCGCCCCAACATTATCTCCCTGGGCCCGCTCCCGTCTTTCTACCAGGCACCCTCCCTCACCACCTCTTCTCACCGAGCCCGCCACACACGCACACACACTCATCCCCCGCCCCTACCTCCGCGCCCATCCCTCGCAGTCCCGCATTACCTCTACGGCGGCCTCGAGTTTTCCTTCGAAGGTGAAGTCGATAAGGTCGGGTTTGAGACACAGCCCATAATTGATGGGGCGCACTTCGGGCGGGAGCCGTTCGAAGGGCCGCTTCTCCGGCATCGCAGCGGAGGCAGCGAGACGGGTAGAAGAAGAGGAGGAGGTGCTGCTGCTACTGCTGCTGGTTGAGGAGGAGGAGGCGGCGGCGGCGGCGGCGGCGACTGAGGCGTTCGCGGAGGCCCAGCGCGCGCGCGCACTGTCGGGGAGGCGGCGATCCCCCGCTGACAGAGTGAGGAGACGGGAAATGCAAGGAGGAAGAGGAGGAGGCGGTGACTGCGCTCGTAGCGCCTGCCCCGACCGAAAGAGAGAAGGGAAGAGGGCCCGCCGCTGCTGCTGCTCGTCCTGCTGCGGCTGCCGCGCTCCCTCCACAGACGGCCACCGATGGCAAGCCGCCCACTGCGCATGCACGTCCCACTTTCTTCCCTTCTCCCCGTTCTCGCGTGCCCGTGCCGCCTCCCGACCGAGAGAAAAAGTAGCAAGGCCGAGGGCGCTCGTGGGGTGACGCACGCGCGCCGTCGGCGCCTGCGCATTCATAGGCGGCGACGCCGATAAGCCGACAGAACCTAAGCGGGCAAAGAGATTTCTGTGGGCCATTTGCACTCGCTGCATTCTCTCCGTGCTCAAGCTTGACTTGTACGGCGGCGAGGAGGAGGAGGAGGAGGAGGAGGAGGAGGAGGAGCTCGCGAGACGCCAACGGGTGTGTCAAAGATGTCAAAATAAACGCGGAATTGAGGGAAGGGAAAAGGGCATTGCCGTGCTCGCGCACGCGCGTTAGAATAAAAAAAAACGCTCCTTTTTTGAGGAAAGAGAAGGGATGATTTGGATTTAGATTAGCAGCGGATTCCCATCTTCCGCCGGGACGAGAGAAAGAAATGCGGCACGCGCGGGTCAGGTGATTGGATTCCCAAGAGAGCACAGTGCGGCTGTTCCTCCCTTCATCTGGAACCCTCTGGAAAAAGAGAAACAGAGAAAAAGACGATGCAAAGAGAGCAAAAAGCAATGTGCTCCAGGGAATAATTTGGCGTTTTCTCAAGCAAATAAAGAATAAAACATCCCAAAAATCTGAGCATGACTATAGTTTAAAAAAAATTATTTTTAACTACTGGAGCATGCATTGTCGTGCATTAAAAACGCTGTGGTTTTATTACGCTGCGTGTTTTACATTTGGAATTATACGTGCACGTAGTAGCGTAACTATTACAAGGTTTGCTTTTAGGTGAGTTGAGTGTGACTTAAATTGACTGAAAAAAATGGACATAGAGCATGCCTATCTTGGCAGAGAATTGCAGACTTACGGTATCACTGATTTCAGGAGGAGACATGTAACCTTATTCTATACATGGGAATTATAATCAGTGGGGCTTATTCTGAAATCAGATGCAATCTTAGTTCTACCCAGCTCCTTGAGACAGGCTTTTTCTTCGAAGAAAACACTGCTTTATTGATAGACAAATGGGACCTGAAATAAAATGTTGCAGTGTCTAAAAGAGCTAACCCCTGGTTTATGAATCCAGCAAGTATGGCACAGGACTCTCTATGCAGTACTGGAGTGAGGGCAGGCAGGCATGAACAGTGACTCTGGCCAACAGCTGTGTTCCCACATTCACCTGGAAAAGAAGTTACAGTGGCTTCTTTATCCCACTCTGTGTGTTGCACACAGTGCAACTTACCTATTACCCTTGTACTGCACAGGTTGTCATGTCCAGACACAGCAAGGTGCATGTAGGCATGACTTCCAAATACTCCCAGAATTCAAAGGCCCACTAAACTCTATTTTTGTGCACACAGTGGCCAACCAGATGCCTGTGGAAAGCCCTCAATCAGGAGTTGCAGACGTGTATATGCTATCACCCTCCTGCTTGTGTTCCTCAGCAGCTGGGTTCACACATCATAACAAAGGCATCTATACAAGGTGGGGAATACCTGGCTCAACACTACTGCAAAAGAAAAAGACCTTGGAATTATTGTGGACAGCCAATTATATATGTGCCACCAATGTGATGTAGTCTCAAAAAGGTCAAATGCTATTGTGGGATGTGTTAATAGAAGCATCACTTTCAAATCATGAGAAGTAATAGTTCCCCTATAATCTACATTAGTCAGACCTTATCTGGAATATTCTGTCCGGTTCTGGGCACCAACATTTAAGGAAGATGCAGAAAAACTGGGAAAAATTCAAAGGAGGGCAAACAAAGATGATCCTGCATTTGGAAACATGGCCCTATGAGACGAGACTGTGAGAACTGGGTATGCGCAGCTTGGAAACACTAGGAGTGGGGGATATAAAAGCACCCCACAAGTATCTAAAAGGCTGTCACAAAGAGGAAGGACAAGATCTCTTCTCTTTTTGCTCATACCAGAGTGTAGGACACAGAATAGTCGACTCAAGTTGTGACACACCAGATTCTGGTAGATATCAAGAAGTTTTCTAACTGTCAGAGCAATACAACAGTGGAACCATTTGCCTAGAGAGGTTGTGGGCTCTTCCATGCTAGAGACATTCAAAAAGAAACTGGACAGTCATCTGGGTGGGATGAAATAAACTGCTGTCCTGCAACAGTAGGGTGTTAGACCTGTTGGCCTTATTGGCCCCTTCCAATCCTGCTGTTCTATGATTCTATGAAGGTACCCTGCATGGTTTCCATAGTGCTTGGATGTGCCTGACAGATGATCAAGTGGTTTCTATGCTAGTGTGGTTTCTATCCTCATTCAGTCCTCCCATTGTTGACATGTATCCCATCAACCAAGTCTGTCTGTTTGTTTGTTTGTTTAAAACATTTCTATGCCACCCCCATCGCAACAAAGCCTCTGGGCGGATCACAACAAAAACAAACAAAAGCATATAAAAATTATACAATAAAAATATTAAAACCCAGTGCATCTCTGCTTAAAATTTTTTTTAAAAAAATCCTACATAATAAATTAACAATTAAAATAAGTTTTAAATAAAAAGGTCTTAGCCTGGCGCCGAAAAACAAATAACGACGGCACCAGGCGGACCTCTCTGGGGAGCGAATTCCATACGTTGCCTGAAATTCATTCTTTTGCTGATGGCTGAGCAGCTCCTACAGCTGCTGCTTTTTCTAGGGGACTCTGTGGTAGCTGCACAGCAACTACCACAATGCTGAGTTTGGAACATTTGAGAAACCATGGTGAACCATTGAAACCACTGTTTCTTATCATGGTTTATAAAAACCAAAGATACCGTGCTGAAATACCATGGCAGGGTTTCAACAACACACCTAGTAGCTATTGATAGCCTTATCTATGAATTTGTCCAATCTCATTTTAGAACCATCCAAACCAGTGGCCATTGCTACTTCTTGTGGAAGTGAATCCTATAATTCTACTATGCACTGTGTAAAGAAGTACTTTCTTTCATCTGCCATGAATCTCTAATCCATCAGCTTCAGGGGATGACCCCAAATTCTCATATCATGAGAAAAGGAGAAAAATGTCTCCCTATGCACATTCTTCTGATGAATGTTGTGCTCCTCTATTATATCTCCCTTTTTCCTTTTTCAAACTAAACAGTCCCAGCTTTTCTAACCCTTCCTCACAGAGGAGTTGCTCCAGTGTCTTGAAAACTTGAGTAGCCCCTTCCTGCACTTTTTTCAACTCAGCAGTGTCCTTTTTCAGGTGCGGCAACTGGAGTTCTACACAGTATTTCATGTGTGGTTGCACCATGTATTTATATAATAGGAGCCAGCAGTTTTATTTTAAAATTTATTCCTAATTATGCATGACTTGGAATTTCCTTTTTCATGGTAACCACACGGTTAGCTGACATTTTCATTGAGCTCTCCACCACAAACGCAAGATCACTTTTTTGGTCAGTCACTGCTGGCTCAGATCCCATCAGTTTATACTGTTTAAGTTTGGATTTCCAGCCAGTGCAGTTGGCTAGAAAATGCTGGAAGTTGTAGAACTACGTTCTGCGTAAACACGCATATGATTGCACTTGTACGTTGTAAACCTATGCATGCTTAGGCAGAGAAAGGAAGTCCTACAACTCCTAGCATCCTTCCAACCAGTCACACTGGCAGAGACATAATAGAAGTTGTAGCATATTTTCTGCCTAAACATGCATGGGATTGCAGTCTTAGATACACAAAAGCATACCGTGTAAAGGAGTGTGCTGCATCAAGCTGTGTCAAGAATACAGTAACATATGCATGTAATATTTATTTTATTTATTTATTAAAACATTTTTATGTTTTAATTCTCTTTTAACCTATGGCAAGTAAAAGGAGTCAGTGTGGTATAGCGGTTAAGGGCACAGGACTGGGACTCAGGTAATTTGGGTTCTAGTCCCTGTTCGGTCATGGAGCCAACTGGATGACTTTGGGCCAGTCACAGACTCTCAGCCCAACCTATCTCACAAGGTTGTTGTTGTGGGGATAAGATTGAGAGCAGGAGGAGGAGAATGGTGTAAGCTGCTTTGAGATCCTAAGAAAAAAGTGGGATATAAGTCTAATAAATAAGTAGAAATGTACTTCATGACTATCAGAAAGGAAAAGCTTTGCAAATAGGAATTTGTATAGTATTGATCTAACACAATTAATGCAGATCATATAATATATAGGCATTATTAGAGATTATGAACTGTTCATAATCCCTATGAACAGGCATTATTAGGGATTTGAACTGGACAGAGTCCATTTTGTCTATAATTGACAGCTTGTCAGGCACCTTTTGTTGTATGTTAATTGATGGAATCTGATTTTGTGAAAATGAGTTCTTATGGATTTGTGCAAAATCACAGTCTTGAAAATGCACAAATCCTCCCAAATTACACAAATTCCTGAAAATGTTTATTTTAATGCTTTAGCCTATGGGAAAATATGCAGTTTTGGTCAGTATTTTTCTATTTTTTTGTAAATGTGTATAAAAGTACAGAAAATAATAATAAAAATAAATGTCCTGCAAGGCTGCTGTAAAATCTGTGGATCAGATCTTTAGAAATGTGTACTCATTTGAGTCTGTGGTACACTCACATCCCTTGGCATACTATATTAGTCCTCCTCCTCCACTTAAAGTAAACTCAATTATGTGTAATCAAACTGAATGCATATTGTTCCTGTTTACCCTTGCCTAGTCCTTCATCAAATAAACAGTCCATTCCTGATGGCCCATTCCATATCTGTGATTATATGCCCTTCCCTCTTTTTGTTGCCTCCCCTGTGTTGAAGTGTAGTCTACAAGCTCCTTAGAGCAAAGCCTTTGTTATTTCTCTGCTGAATACTACTCACATTGATACCATTATGTAAATAATAAAAACAGTAATATGTGGGCAGGCAGAGGAACAAAATATTTTATGGACAAGTGACTTTTGAGGATTTATTTGCAATTTTGTGGATTTATGCACGACATGTATTTTACCACATATGTATCTCATATATCACTGGCACCAAGTACCCCACTGGTGAAACCAACATATCTGAGTTGGAACAGATGGACATAATCCTGAGAACTAAATCAGACAGATTCCACATTCTGCATGTGTTCCATACAGATTCACTTACATAGTTGTACTGTCATGCCTTAAAGTTGTGGAAAATTTGAGAAACCTGCTAATGCAATGCTCTTCACAGAGGCATGCATTTTGCAGTTCCCTTGGGCCTGTATTGTAATTTCCAGTTGCCTGTCAACTTTTCAGCACATACAGATCTTTCTCCTCAATGCACAACAGTTTCTTGGGGCTGTGTACTTATTTATGTAGGGTGTTTAATTAGATATGTTCAAGTGGGCTTGAATGACAGAACTACCAGTTATTTTTGAAACTAGAAACCTAAGCTAGGTGATTGAAATGTATTGTCCATCCCAGACACACACTCATCCTTGATGTATACCCTCCTAACTTTAGAAAGCTAGGGTTTTTTCCTCCTACTAAGCTAGTTATTCACTAAAAGCAGCTTTGGCAAAGAACACTTTAAAAGTTTTAATCTGAAAACAGATTATGCAAGTAACTCTTCCTCTCTCCCAAACCTGAAGTGGGCTGCTCCCTTTCAGTTCTGATTTTATGATTACCATGTCCCTGAACAGAATAATCTGAAAACCTGTAATTGAGCTGGGATCTCAGGCATAGTCCCCAGGGTTGTAACCACTTATCTAATTAAAATCTCAAATGCCAAAAAAAAAGGTAGTGATCAAGTCCTCTCTAGCGTATCATATAGCCTTCTTTATCAGAGTTTTGGGGAGAGTAAGAGTGCTTATTTGTAGATAGGGTGTAGAAATGGGTGGCTTAAATTCCTGTTCTCCTGAAAACAGTATTTTTCAGGAGGTTTCATTTTAGTTCAAAGTGTTATCTCACTGTTTAAAATATAAGTTGGCACAGAGCATGAAAGAAACCTGAGAGAAAGAGAATGCTAATTTAACACAAGTCCTGAGGCAATGCAGCAAGAAACTGGGGCAGGTGGATAAGAACAAAGATTTCTAAGCATAACTCAAAGGCAGCTGATAAAGATGAGTGTAATAATATAAACTGTTTCTGAAAAATATAAATGAATGCTTCTGTTTTGTAGGGGAAAGTGCAAAAGGATTTCAAAGCTCAGCCATTTTCCATGCCCTTCATTCAGATCCAAATTTCTGGTACCTACATCCCAGTAAGAGAGCCTGGACTGGCAGCCTGAAGTCCGGTTCTGATTGGTCAACAATTTTTATATAGCATAAGCAGCCAAAATTTTGAAGCATAAAGCCCGCCCATGAAAATCTTTATATGGCCAGCAGCCATGGCCTGTTTGGCTCTTGCCCAGATTTCTACTGGGCTGGCAGCTGTGTTATATAAGCTTTCCGGGATCAGATCACCCCCAGTCTTTTATGTTGTAACAATGAGGAATTACTCTTTTGCTTTTTCTTTCAACCAAGGTCCTTCCTGTTGTGGACAGAAATCAAGTCATACAGGGTAGAGTTTGAGGAGAAAACGACAGCCAGACCCAGCTAAGATTCCTAGACTAGTAATGAAAAGGTTACTATTGAAACTAGTTTCAGAAGGCTGTAGGGGTAAATGTGGAAGTCAGATGGAGAATACAGAATCACCTTGGGCCAACTCTGGCTCCAGCATTTGAGACCCTCTGTCTGTGAGCTAGTTAATAGGCCTCCTGTGTTGGGTAGAATGAGCTTTGGTTTGGCACAGTGGTGCAAGCACATTTGGAATGGATCTATTCCTGAAATAAATTTGCTTCCTGTTCTGCTTCAAGCAAAGAACGTTGGTTCCAAATTGTTTATTCTGATTTCAAGTGTCTGCCCTTTTAATCACCATAAACTGATAAAGTCAGGTTGCTCACCTGTAACTGTTGTTCTTTGAGTGGTCATCTGTGCATTCACACATATGGGCTCTGCACTTGCATGGGGCCTGTTGTTGGGAAGATTTCCAAGCTCGACTCATTCTGGCAGGAACCCCTGCCCTCCCTTCTCCCCGCTATAATATCTAGGAGGGGTTTGCACCCTTTTCCCCAGACAGACATTGTGGCCTCAGAAACAAGGGGAGGATGGTGAATAACCGACCCTGTACCAGACAGGCATGGGATTGTATAGATGACATGGTATCAAAGCTGGTGTTGGTGGATCGGTAGTGTGGATGCACAGATGACCATTCAAAGAATGACAGTTACAGGTAAACAACCAGATTTCCCTCTTTGTGGTCTTTGTACCTCACACATATAGGTGATTAGCCAGCTTACCTTGAGTTGGAGGTAGGAAGGTGCCATCAGCAGAGGACTGTGGATAGGACCATTCAGCTGAAGGAACAGTTTTGTGTGGTGCAAACATTGAGCCCATAGTGCTAGATGAAGGTCGATGGGCTGCAGGATTAGGGTCTTCTAGAGCCTGCCTGTAGTTACATAAATAGAAGTTGATGCCACAGAGGAAGGTTTGATGAAGGAGATGTGAAATCTTGGGCACAATGAAGTTGTGGAACAATTCCTCAATTGGCTGTAAACATTTATTCGTAGCAAAAAGAAAAAAGTTCCAACAGCAGAACCTGTCCAGACAAAAGAATATGTTAAAGGTGTCCACACCAAAGCACACACACATATTTGTATAGCTGCATGTTGATAGCGTTTGCCAAGTCTTTTGAATGTTCATGTTTGTTCCTTTTGACTCTCCAGGGCCTAGTTTGCTCTGCCTCACTCCCAAAGGAGTGTTCCTTTGACTTTATCCCTGACAAGGCTTGTGTCACATGACAACTCATCAATGTGTAACAAGCCACATTGGAATGTCAAGTCATATGAACCCAGGTCATTTTCCACAGGGTAGCTTGTTTGAGAACAGCAAGCCAACCTGAGGACTCCTAGCTTGTTGTAGCAGTGGTAGTACCCACAATGGGTTGTCTTGTCATCTGAAGCCAGGGGAAAGATCCCACCATGCATGCAACTTGAAGTGATTAGTGAGCCAATGGCTCTAGTCGCAAAACCCCATTGTCACTTCTGCCAAACTTCCCTAAGTCACCCCCAGTGACAGCTACTCAAGAGTGTCCAAGCAGCACTGGCTTGGCGCCCACTCCCCAATAATGAAACTTCTTGGCTAGTCATAGCTTCTTTCCCCCTCACCTTTTTTTATGGGGGGTGGGGGGCTGCAAACAGTGATCTCTGAATTGAAAGCCACTGACAGACCCTCCAAAGTGTCCAAGCAGAACACTGGTGGGATTGTCACAGGTTGACTACTTTTTGGTGTGTGCCTGAATTGTAGAGATGTGCACACAATATGCACCTGTACACTTATTTTTTCATATGGTAGTGTTAAAAAACCACAAACACATCTTAGTATTTTTTAAGTCAGGAACTGCAATGCAAAATTTGGAGAAATGTGAAGGCCAAAGGATTGTTACATTCTGATTTGCACGTTAGAGCAGGAGGTGCAGCTGACAACAGTTCATGACAGAATTCACAAGGAGTGATTTCCTTATACATCCCTACTTGCTCATGATGCAGCAAATTTGGGGAGAAGGTTTTCCCTGACGTCAGTCATATGACATGCAGGATCATACTACAAGCTGTTTTCTCATACTTTCCTCTCCCTGTTCAACAGCTGTGAAAAATGTCTTTGTCACAAGGCTTGTGAATGCCATAAATCCCCAACTAGGATTTGAAGTCCAGCAAGCAAGTCAACCCGCCCTTAGCAGCAGCTGAAAAGCAGTTCTGTTCCAACAGCTACAAAAATGCTGGAGTGTCTCCAGACATGGGCTCAGCCGCTGAGTGCTTCATAGTTGGAAACTGCTGAGTTCTCTGCTGGGAGCCAAAGAAACAGGACCTGTTTTGCTGGAGTCAGCAGAAGCAGGACCTGGCTAGTTGCATACCCATGGTACAAGATCAACAATTTTCCAGGATGCTAGTCTGATGGAGAACATTATGTGGCTAACCCTTGGGTCACCATTTCTGATCCTGTTTGTAGTCCCAACCTTCTAGTCCCTGGGAGTGCATTCTTGTCCATTTTCCAGACTTTCTTGAAGGTTAGTGGGACTGTGAGGGGAAGATCTAATCAGAACCAGTACAGACAAACAAAAATGAGCAGGGCACCAAACACTGTGCTGGCTGCAGTGCTCAGGCAGTGCTGAAAGCTGGCCCACGTAGAATACACTGCAATGCTCCAATTGGGCGGTTTCTACAGGATGGATGATAATAGCAAGCCCTGTAACTGAGCAGATGAGGGTGTATCTGGTCTATCAGGCACAACTGAGGAAGGACATTCATTGCTGCAACGCCAACCTGAGCTCTTTGTGACTAAGCAAAGTCATGGTTTATGTTTTGTAAGCCACCCTGAGTGCTTGGTGGAAGGACGGGATATAAATGCTTGTAATAAATAAATAAATAAATGGAGCACGCCCAGACTGCAAACTGGGGGTGGTGATGACGTAAGCTGCTGCCAGAGTCTGGTTGGGTCAAATTTAGAAGCAGCCAGTTGGAGCAGGCCCAGATGAATAGGGCAGTGAATGAATGAAAACCATATCTGGAAGTCAGTGCTCCATAATTTGGCATGTAGCTACTATATTTCTGATTTAAAGACCATCTTTATTCTAGATAAGAGACAATTAAGGGAATAGGTTTTTTGGATAGACTCTAGAAAGGACCTGCAATTAATTAAAAACTCTAAATTTTCTCACTGGTTTCCTCTTTTGAAAATAGAATATTATACAGCTAGCTATCTGTCCAGACTGAGACCATCCTTCAGAAATGCCTTTTTGGTTGCGATTTCAAGTTATGCCAACCACAGTTTTGGATGGGCAATATAACAAGGTGCCTTTTGAATGCAGGTTATATATCTGTGGCTTATATCACACTGAGCACACAGTACATGTTAATCGATCCTTTATATACTGACTCCAAAGAGAGATTTTATTATATGGATACAGGAATGCCTTGGCAGAAACAATTCTTTTTCTTTTAAGTGATGTTAATAGTTATGTGACACATAAAGTGGCTTTCTTTGCTTTGGCAGCAAAAAAGAGAAAGAGAAAATTAGACAAAATCGCTATAAACCACACTGCAGATTCAGAGTTAAGTTAAAGATGAATTTCTCTTCATAGTATATTTTAATCTGTTTATATTTTTTGAAATTCTTCGTTTTGTTGTCTATGTGCATTTGAACAGGGCAGCCCAGAGTAGGTGCATCTCCATCTGCAGGTGGCAGTTAAATCAGCCAGAGTCTGGTGCCGCAGTCCAAAGCAGGCAAGAGATCAATTCCTAAGGGCAGCAGGGTTTTACCTGACAAATGCGAATGAGAGTTGAATCTTTAGAGTACCTATTTCAACTGATATGTTACTTGGATTGAGGAATCTGTTACTCAGCCCAAAGGCAGCAATTAGGTAAGGTCAGTTAGACTCCTATTCACTCTCCACATCACATGGAGAGGCTGGGCGTATGAACTGCAGCCCACTGTACTGCCTGCTGCCTTGGTGGAGCTGCAGAGGAGCAAGGTTCACACGTAACTCTGAGTCACCATCCAACTTGGCATATAAATGGATGGTGCCTAAAGCCCCTCTCTGGCTACCACCCATCAGATCAGGTGTTTGTTCAGGTCTTTACCAGAACCCAAAGCTATGAAGGGCATAAAAGGTGAAAATTAACCATTTGAAATGTGCCTAGGAACTAACTGGCATATGTACGCATTGGTGACAGAATGGTAACCTATGGCGGTTCACAAGATAGCTCCCCATGGGTGAAAGAAGTGATCTCCAACAGTAACTTCTGAAACTGAGCTGACAGGTAACACTTTAAACTACTGCATAGCCATGTGCCAATTCCCTAACTGTTCAGGTGGCCCAGAAGAAGAAGAATCAAAGGCAACTGAGAGACAAATAAAAGCCATTTGAGTAATTGCTGTTTCAGAGTTGGTGATTTGCACCCCATAGAACCAGACTCTGTTTTATAAACAAACCTCCAAATGTTATTTTTAAAAAGGGCCCTCTAATAATTTCCCTTAGGTTCTGGCCTCTCTCAACCCGGAAGCAATCAGTGTTGCCAGCTGCTCCTTCTTGGCTCCTCCCAAGAAACACACCCCATTCAAACTAAAACAAGTTCTCTTACATATTTTCATATTACATTATATTACTAACCTGCCTCTCTTCCTCTTGCGGGGAACCCAAGGGGGCTTACAAGTTTTTCTTCCTATTTTATCTTCACAACAGCCCTGTAAGGTAGGTTACAGTGGGAGTCTGCAACTGGCCCAAAGTCACCCAGTGAACTTCATGGCTCAGTGGGGACTAGAACCTGGATCTTCCAGGTCCCCAGCCCATCACTTTCTCCACTGTACCACACTGCCTTTCACCATATAAATACCACATGTAATGGTAAGCATACCAACTAATCTTTCTTTCAATGCCCTTCCTCTTCTGTAGACGGTTCTCCCCAGCATCCCTATAGCCAGCAGACTGGTACCCACTGTGTATGCCACTCTTCCCAAAAATTGGGATTTAAATGAATTTGAGGTGTCTCTTCAATTTCTTCTTGTTTATTCAACTGGCCAGTTGGCAGTGAGGTGGGGTGAAGACCCCTTCTCAAATCCAAATGCAACAATAATTATCTAAGAATGAGCGAGCAACACTGATTCACCAATCCAGCACAGAGGAAATGTTCGTGAGTTCAGCTGTGCTGCTTTATGCAGGCTGGCCATTGGCTCCTCTTGAACACAAAGGGCTATAAGAGGGCTTCCTATCTATCTGAGTGGCATCTTGAGCAGCAAGGTCTACCTGAGACTTTTTATATTTGTCCT